GTTGTGGCACCAGTATCTGTATCAATTATTGTAAGAGATATATCGTAGGCAAATAATTTATTATCCAATGCAAGCAATAGGAACGTATTTTTCCATCCACTGCTGAGAATTCTGTAGGTCCAATTTCTCAAATCAAGTTTAAAAATGTTACCACTATCATGGACCGAATATGCATAATCACCTATTACAGTGATAGATCGCATATTACGCCAGCTTTCACTTTGGACTTTTCTAAAAATGCCATCAAGACGAATTTCCCAGATAGCGTCAATGACTACGTAAATATGATCATTGTAAGAAAAAATTGCTTTTGCGTTTTGCCATCCACCACCAGCGTCAGTCCACTTGGAAACGGAGTAATCTGAAGTTTTAAGCTTGTAGATGAAACCGTCAGGACGAATAGCGTAAATGAAGCTGCCATTAGTAGTAGCAGCTACAGTGTTTGGCCAGCTAGAACCCACTCGATCATATTGGCCATATGAATTGACTTCCCAAACATCAATTGCAAAGACTATAATTTTTTCGCCATTTGGAGCTATAGCAGTTGAGTTATTCCAATCAGCAGAGATATTACTATAAGTCCAATTCATTAATTATTTAAGGCAAAAGTACCGAATAAAAATTTTTATAATTTAGTGGGGTCAAATTGTAAGCTTTATATACGTTGCAGGAAACAATATCGCTAAGATAAATTTATTGCGCTGTATCCAAATGATTTTTTTATTTAGACGAAACTTGATTATTGAAAAGTGCACGGTACAGTAAAAAAAAATCCAAATCCACAATATCTCAACGTATAAACAAGTAGCACATTTGGAATCAATAAGTTACCTGGATTATTAATCTCAATAAGTTACCAACCTCAATAAGCTAATTTAGTAAATATTTGCTTCAATGCAATGCACGTACGTACTAGAGTTGCTGGTAAAACTGGTGAAACTCGTAGTGAAACTGGTGAATTTAATATAACAGCCAATTAGATTTTAGATAGTCACCAGTTTCACCAGCATTTATTTAGTTCACCGGCAACTCTAGAACGTACATTATTTTTATAGGCAGGTTAAACATGAATTTTTGCATTTAAACACTTCAAATTCACATGTTGCTGCATTACATGGCTCTATAATTAATTACGTAATACTG